CACCCCTGTAGATGAGATCTGCGACTATTTTGGTGTGAAGATTGCCATGTACTTTGCCTGGCTGGGCTTCTATACGTCGGCGATGGTATATCCAGCTGTCTTTGGCTCTGTCCTGTACACATTCACAGAAGCCGATCAGGTGCTGGGCATGGGCCAGGTGTGGGCTGGGGCACCTGAGACACCCTCCTCCCTGGGCCAGCCTGGAAAATAGCTGAACCCTGCTCTGCCACCCCCAGACAAGCCAGGATGTATCCTGTGTGGTCTTTGCCCTGTTCAACGTTGTCTGGTCAACACTATTCTTGGAAGAGTGGAAACGGAGGGGGGCAGAGCTGGCCTACAAGTGGGGGACACTGGATTCACCAGGGGAAACCGTGGAGGAGCCACGACCCCAGTTCAGGGTCAGTCAGAGGTTGCTGAGTCCAAGGACTCCCAAGAATGGGGGATGGAGGTGGGGAGCACTCTAAGAACAAAGATAGGAAGTGTGAAATCCAGCTACAGCATCAAAAAGGGTGTGCCAAGTGGGGGGGGGGTGGAGACCTGCATACCCAGAGGACAAAGGTGGGAAATTGGATTTGAGAGACTGGGAAGGGGGCACTGGCAAAGCAAAGACATATTGGAGGGAGATAGACTTCAAAGTATTGGTAAGGGTGTGGGGGGACGGGGCAGCCCCTCTGCCTCCAAGCTGGACCTGGCCCCTCCCTCCCTCCAACAGGGTGTGCGACGCATCAGCCCAGTGACACGGGCCGAGGAGTTCTACTATCCACCCTGGAAGCGGCTGTTCTTTCAGCTGTTTGTGAGTGTTCCCTTATGCCTCACCTGCCTGGCCTGCGTGTTCCTGCTCATGCTCGGCTGTTTCCAGTTGCAGGTGATCTCCAGTCCCCAGCCCTGGCCCCAGCCTGGACCTGGTGACCACCTGTCCAGGTCCAGCCTGAGCCTAGAGCAGCTGCCAGGGTGACCCATGAACTCTCTGCCCCTGCAGGATCTGGTGCTGAGTGTGAAGGGGCTGCCCCGCCTTGCCAGGTTCCTGCCCAAGGTCGTGCTGGCCCTGCTGGTCAGCATAAGTGCAGAGGGCTACAAGAAACTTGCCATATGGCTCAATGACATGGGTATGACCTTTAAGGGAAGGTTCCTGTGGGGAGGAAGATCCTCAGTGCCCACAGGGAATCCAGGCCTCCCCTTCAATTGCCCCTTTGATCCCCAGAGAATTATCGGCTGGAGAGCGCCTACGAGAAGCACCTCATTATTAAGGTTGTTCTGGTGAGTGGTAGCCAGCAGGTGGGGCAGGGCAGGGCTCCTGGGGACAAGGGGCAAGAGGATGACCACCCAGCTACTTCCCACAGTTCCAGTTCATCAATTCCTACCTGAGCCTCTTCTACATTGGCTTCTACCTCAAGGACATGGAGCGCTTGAAAGAGGTGAGACCCTGACTCGAGGTAGTGCCCCGCCCCCATGGTGGCAAATGGTGGGGCCAGACCTGGCCCAAGGGGTCCACGGGCTCTCCAGCCCCTCCCCCTTCCTCCATCCTTTTCTCCTTTCTGTCCATCCGTCCATCTGTGTGTCCTCTCTCTGCCTGTTGCCCACCATCTGTCCATTTGCCTGTTCGTCGGTCCCTTCACAGCTCCTGCTCGTCCTGTCCCTGTCCCAGAGCCTCGAGCGGCAGCTTCGGGCGGTGCTGGCCCCGCTCGTGGCCCTGCGGTTCCACCTGCTCCTCCTGTCCCTCTGGGGCTCCTGCACCTGGCCCAGGCCAAAGTATGGGCAGGTGGCGAGCCTGAGGGGCCTCGCTGGGCAGGCAGTGTGGCTGTGCTGGGGGCCTCATGACAAGCTGAGGGTGCATGCCATGAGGGGATAGGGCTCCACTGGCTCGGTGCAGATGGCAGGGGTCGCTCAAGGCCCTGGGCAGTGGCTGAGCTCCCAGGTGGTGCTGCAAGCAGGGTGGCCCTGAGCCCACAGCAAGATTGGCTAGGAGCACCATGACTGGTTGGGCTGTGGTTGGTGGCAGGTGAACAGTGATAGGGGCTGCAGAGGCTGGGGACTCTGTCCAGGGTTGTCCCAAAGGGCAGAGTTTAGGAACTGAGTTCAGAGGAGGTGCCTGGAAATGTGCTCGGGGAGGGCGGGGGCCCCATCCTCGTAGCTTGTCCTGGTGCCCAGGGCCCTGCCTGCTCCCCACGCAGCCTCTCTGTGCACCTTTCCTGCCCCCAGATGCTGGCCACTTTGCTGATCACCCGCCAGTTTCTTCAGAATGTTCGCGAGGTCCTACAGCCACACCTATACCGGCGGCTGGGCCGAGGCGAGCTCAGCCTGCGGGCCGCTTGGGAGCTGGCCCAGGCCCTCCTTGGCCTGCTCAGCCTTCGGCGCCCTGCACCCTGCCACCTTGAACCCCAGGCCGAAGAGGCTGGTGGCAGTGGTGGCGGAGGGGGCCGCAGGTGTCTCAGCGGGGGCTGCGGGGCACCCGAGGAGGAGGAAGAGGCCACAGTGGAACGGCGGCCCACAGGGGAAGGTGGGGAGGTGAGGAACGGGTTGAGGGGGGCCAAGGAGGAGGAGGAGGACGACGAGGACGAGGAGGAAGAGGAGGAGGACGAGGACGAGGGTGAGGAGGGCGGCCTCCTGGACTGCGGGCTCCGGCTAAAGAAGGTCAGCTTTGCTGAGCGGGGGGTTGGGCGGCATCAGCCTGGCCCAAGTCCGGAAGCCCTCCTGGAGGAGGGGAGCCCCACGATGGTGGAGAAGGGGCTGGAGCCGGGCGTGTTCACACTAGCCGAGGAGGATGATGAGGTGGAGGGGGCTCCTGGCAGCCCTGAGCGGGAGCCCCCAGCTGTCCTGCTCCGCCGGGCTGGGGGCGAGGGCCATGACCAGGGGCCAGATGGGGGCCCAGAGCTGGAGGCTGGCTCAGGCAACTTGGCCCGGAAGCAGCGGCGGCAGAATCGGTCCTCTTGGATCGACCCGCCCGAGGAGGAGCACTCACCCCAGCTCACCCAGGCTGAGCTTGAGAGCTGTATGAAGAAGTATGAGGTAAGGCAGGTGTCTGAGGGTGGAGGCAGGGCCCTCAGAGGGGCGGGCACAGTCTGATGGTGGAGGTGTGGGCAAATAACGGGCCCTTGATGTAATCAGGAGCCTGCCAGAAGGGGAGGCTCGGGGTCCATATGGGATAACCTAAGGGAGGTGGACTTGACAGAGAAAGGTAGTCTAAGGGAGGAGGTGTCCTGGTCTGAGCAGGCGCCCGCCCGCAGGACACGTTCCAGGACTACCAGGAGATGTTCGTGCAGTTTGGCTACGTCGTGCTCTTCTCGTCTGCCTTCCCCCTGGCTGCGCTGTGCGCCCTGGTCAACAACCTCATTGAGATCCGCAGTGATGCCCTCAAGCTGTGCACGGGGCTGCAGCGGCCCTTTGGGCAGCGGGTCGAGAGCATCGGCCAGTGGCAGGTGTGGGAGGGCCAAGGGCTCCAAGCTGAGGTGCACAGGGAGATGGGGTGCACTGGGAAGGAGCACAAGGCCCAGAAAGGAGGGCTGACCCCACCTGAGCCCCACTGTGTCCCCCTGCAGAAGGTGATGGAGGCCATGGGTGTCCTGGCAATCATTGTCAACTGCTATCTCATTGGCCAGTGCGGGCAGCTGCAGCGCCTCTTCCCCTGGCTCAGTCCCGAGGCGGCCATTGTGTCCGTGGTAGTGCTTGAGGTAGGGCTGGGGGCCAGGCGAGGAAGCTGGGCAGTCTGACAAGGAAGCCAGGCAGCTGGCGGGCATCCCCAAGCCTGCAGTCTCCAACCTTCTCCTTTATCACCTCAGCACTTCGCTCTGCTTCTCAAGTACCTCATCCATGTGGCCATCCCTGACATCCCAGGGTGGGTGGCCGAGGAGATGGCCAAGCTCGAGTACCAGCGCCGGGAGGCCTTCAAGGTACTCGGGATGGGGATGGGCTCTGCTCATTGGGCCATTTCCTTGCCTGGCTGGTGGCCCTGGCCTTAGCAGGAAGGCAAGTGTGCAGAGCCTGGTGTAATAATTAGTGTGCCAAATGGACCTGGTCCCTTCTGGAATCCTGGAGGCATCCAGCACCAGGCTGGTACTCTGAACATTCAGTCACCACCAGCTTGTCCAGCAGCATCCCGTTCAGGGTCAGGGACACAGCTGATGCTTCCTAGAAGACCAGCCTCTGCCACATTCCTCAGAAAGCTTCAGAATGGGTCAATGAGCTCATGGGCGCCAACCCTTGGAGCTCTCCAAATCCAATCCACGGAGCTCTCCATAGTGATGGAAATGTCTTGTGCCTGCTGCCCGTGTAGCCCCTCAGAACAGCTGGCTAATGCACACTTGAATTAACATTGACAAAGCCACATGTGGCAACTGAACTGGCCAGTGTGGACTCTGTTCTGTGCCAGTCATGGCTCTGTCTCCTGCCAGTTTTCTAGAAAGCAGAAGACCACTGAGACCCAATATCTGTTTATACTCTACCAATTCGTAAGATGGTTTCTGGCACATGGCTGAGACAGTTGGCGGCCAGTAAATGTTCTTCTCAGTTTTCAGAAAGCACTGGTGTGGGTCAAGAGATGCAGTGAGCACCCAATAAGTGTTTAGATCTTTCCCCACTTCTGCAAAGAGCTCACACACCCTCTCTTCCCAGTTCCTCTAATGGCCCACTCTGCCGGCAGAGACACGAGCGCCAGGCCCAACACCGTTACCAGCAGCAGCAGCGGAGGCGACGGGAGGAGGAGGAGCGCCAGCGCCATGCAGAGCACCATGCCCGGCGGGAGCGTGACACCAGCGGCCGTGAGGAGACCCGGGCCGAGGGCTCCGGGTCGGACCCCGCTGCCCCTGAGAAGGCCTCAGCCAAGGCCAAGGGCAGTGGGGTGAGTGGCCACGGTTCTGAGCGGCCCAAGCGCCCAGGGTCCCTGCTGGCGCCCAACAATGTCATGAAGCTCAAGCAGATCATCCCGCTGCAGGGCAAGTTTTTGTCGTCAGGGGCCACGTCCTCAATAGCAGGCACTGGGCCCGGCCCCACCACGCGGCCAACCCCTGCTCAGTCACCCACAGGCAGCGATACCCGCCTGCCCGCCTTCCTCAGCTTCAAGTTCCTCAAGTCACCTGAGACCCGGCGGGAGCCCGAGCGCAGCCACTCGCCACCCAAGGCCTTCCATGCCAGCAAGCTCTTCCCCTTTGGCAGTGGGGCCCGGGCTGAGGCCGGGGCCAATGGGGTGGGCGGGCAGGTCCGGCTGGATGGGACCCCTGGTGGTAGCAGTGGTGGTGGCAGTGGCGGTGGCGGTGGCGGTGGCGGTGGCAGCGGCTGGGCCCAGCGCAGTGGGCCTGCGGACGAGGCTGCGGCTGAGGAGCCAGATGTCCTCCGGCCAGAAGAAGAAGGCTCAGGTCACAAGCTTTAACTCGGGGGTGGGGACTCTGGGCTGGGATTTGGGGGTATGGTAGGGTAGCCAGGCCTGGGGAGAGGGGCTGAAGGGGACAGAAGTGGCCTGGTCTCTGGTTTTGGTTGGGGACCTGGATCCATGGTACCTGAAACCTCTCAGTAGAGACTGCTCAGTCTCTCCAGGACCCTCCAGTGCCTGGAGCCCTGTGCCTGACCCTCCTTACCCCAGGGAGGGATGCCAATGCCCCCTGTCCTGGTGCCCTCCCAGGGCACCTGGCCTGTCAAGCTCCAGTGCCAGCAGGGATGAAGGAGGCCCCTTCACCACCTGGCCCAGCCTCTCTTGCCCCCATGAGTCTATACCCAGCTCACTCTGGGGGTACTGGACCCCCAGGCCTCTATGCAAGTCCCCATCCTGAAGCCCAGTGTTCAAGGCGGCCTTCCTGGAGGTTGCCCAACCAGGAAGCTCAGCCAGCTTGGTCACAGGCTACACCCACCAGCTGAGCAGAGAGGCAGGCCTCACCCCTGGCCTCTCCCACCTCACCTGTCCCAACCCTAGCCAGGAGCCCAGCTGCCCATTACCAGGGAGCCCATGAGGTGGAAGTTGCACGACCAGGACTTAGGTCTGAAGTCAGAGGGACTTCCTCAGACTGACGTCTCCCCAGAGGGGGAAAGGCACAGTGCTGCAGGCAGGGGATGCACCCCAAAACTGATCAGAAGCAATAAGGCCCTGATGTGCCTAGAAGCTGGGAGGGAGTGCAGGCAGGGTTCTGAGTGGGGTCTGGTGACAGCGGGGCGGCATTCTCCGGAACAGCCCCTCTCACCTCCGCAGGGACAGCACTGGCCCCAGTGAGCACCCCAGCCCTTCGCACCCGCAGCAGCCGAAGCCCCGTGCCATCAACGCCAACGCCTCTGCCCAGGCCCCCAACACCGCCCGCCAGCTGTTGGCAGTGGGATGGGCCTTGGGGCTGTGGAGGCGAAGGTGCTGCCCCCCGCCAGGCCCCTGCCACCAATGCAGAGTGCCCGCCATGTGCCCTGGCTGGGCCCCCGCCAGCCCCCCAGCCCCTGCCAGGTGACACCAGCTTCTACAGCCTTGCGCCTCTGCCTCTGCCACCATCCTCTGAGCCCCCTGAGTCCCCTTCAGCCTCTCCCAGCCCCAGCCCCCAGGCTGCATGCTGGCCAAGTGGCTGGCATTAGCTCTGCCTGGCACCTTGCCTTCCTGTTCTCATGCAATAGCAGTCACCAATGGGTGGCCACTGCCCAGAAAACATGCTTTGGTCCTCTCAGCTCCCACTATTGGCCTCCCCCTCCTGGGGTGAGGGCCTGTTCCCCCTATCTGCCGTTTTCCTTTTGACTAGAATGGGGAAAATGAAACCCCCCCAAAACAACAAAACACACAGAACAGGCGATTATTTATTTGTTTTTAATTTATTTTGTCATATTTTTGTAAAACGGCAGAAATGCAATAAAAAGTATATTTCAACAGTGCCTGAGGATGGAGCAATGGAAACACAGTTCAGGGGCCCCAGTGACTTGAGGCTGACACTGACTCTTGGGGCCTGGTAAGCCTGAGGTGGATGTTCCTCCTATTTTGTAACCTTGGTGCCTCCTCCTAAGAACTGGATCTGGAGGCCACATGAAAAACTCTGGACTGTACCACCTCTAAGACAGCCCAGATTTTGGGGTCAACTCCAGGCCCCTGGGAGGAGCTACTGAGCCTGCTGTCTTCAGCCTCCTAAACAAAGGAAGAAATCTCAAATGCTGAAAAGACTCAGCTGTTTGGGTGCTAGGTCTGGGTCCTGAGCTGCAACCCTGCAGGGTGACTGGGCCGACACTGTTTCCCTTATCAGTTGCACTTCCTGGTACACCCACCTCCTAGGCTGCCATTTCAGGAGCCAGGGGTGGTAGGAAGAAGTTGGGGCATGAAAATCGGAAGGCACCTTGCCCCCGAGTTGAAATGTTGAGGGGATGGTGCATTTTGGAGATCCCTGGACAGACAGGGTGGAGTTGGGGAATGGCTAGGATGCCCTACTGCAGGATGGCTGTCAGACCATAGTCATTGGGACTTCCCTGTGTGATCACTCCTGCACACCTCACATGTCTCCACATCCAAAGTCTTGGAGCCTGAATGGGCCTAACCCCAGGGCTGGGGGAGCCAGTGTGAGGAAGGGGCACTGTGGAGGGCCATGGAAGAAAAATTGGGGTTCACTAGAGGCAGGAGAGCAGCCTGTGCAAAGGCACAGAGGTGTGGGAAGGCAGAGTTTGGTGTTTGGTGGAGCAGAGTAAGGAGGGACCTAAAGGCAGTAGTGGGGGGAAGCCAGCTGAAGGCCTGCACCCAAGAAATATGGGTGGGGGTGGGGCATGGCTGTGGGACCCCCACTATGGATGGCACTGGCATGATTCAGAGGAACCAGGGCCAGGGAGGCGAGGGTGTGGGTGCTGCCTGCTCCTGCTCTGCCCAGTGGCTTTGAAGCTGATGTCCCACCAGCCTCTCAGTTACTAACAAACAGCAACGCCAGCTGCCTGCCATGGTCAGACCAGCCCTTGGGACTAGGGATTTCTAATGGGTCAGAGAGCCTCCAGGGACTCAGCCACCTCTGCACACACACCATCAAGCTTGCATTTCCTGAGCACCTGCCTTGTAACCACACGGACCCAACACTGAGCCCACGGTATGACCACCACCAGGAGCTGGGAGGCAAAAACCCTTGGCCCCATGAAACAACTGGATGGCCTACCCTGGAACCTTCCACCAGAGTGGTGCTGGGCAGCCCAGGCCCAAGCAATCTGGCTCAGGAAGGACCCTCCATGAGGATAATCTGGGGCAGGCACCCCTTCCAGCTCCATGACCCAACCCCTCACCACCCTCTAATACCATGCCCCCATTCAGGGCTGGTGGAGGGAGAAGCAGCCCTCCCCTGGGCCCTGGGCCCAGTGCTGAGGACCTCAAACCTTCTGCCTGGAGCCTGAACGCCCCCTTTGTTCCGCTGCACTCATGTGCATTCTCTTGGAGCAAGGGGCTTGTGAAGCCAGGCCACCTGGGCTGTCTCCACAGTGGCTGGTGGGCTGCTTGTCAATGTCCTGGATGTGGGATCCACCACAGCTCTGTCCTTGGTGGTGTGGACTGTCTTTCGGGGGTGTCCTGATCCTCAGGGACACTTGGCAGGTGAAGCAGAAGGGTGGGTCCAGGCAGGTCTTGGCTCTGAGCAAGATGGCTGCAGCAAGCCCACAAGAGAATCCAGCTGGTCTTGGGGGCCCCTCTTGGCTTCTCTTGGAGATGATGGGACAACTCTCAGTGGCTCCGTCCTCTGGAGCTGAGGCTCATGGAGCAAAGACTCAAGATCAAGTAGGAAAGATCCTTTTATTGGGGTGGACACGGAGCACGCACCAGTTCATGATAAAATGACTTAAGAGAAAGTTCCGAAAGGGTTGACTTCTCCCCATGGCGTACTCTCAGGCAGGGTCCGGGCACAGAATAGGTCCCGGTGGAACGGGAGTCAAGGCCAAGTCTGTAAGGCCGGACCAGTGGATGGAAGTGGGAAGAAGGGCCCCACCCGTCACCCAGCTGCAGCAGGGCCCATCTCTAGATTCTCGCAGACACACACTGGTTCTCCAGAAGAGGACTGGGGAGCAGGAAGAAGGGATCTTGGGTGGGGTGGGGTGGGGTGATGA